AGGTGGAATAGTTGGCATAAAGAGTTACGGCTACATTGCCACTTTATCTAGACTTTATAAATAGATTTTTTCAAGTCCATCAAAGAGTGCATATGGGAGGAATAAAGATCCTTACTTTGTAGCTTTGTCCAACTACATCAGGGGTAAGTTCAGTGATTCAGTTCAGAAATTCTTGTCTCTGTCACAGCACAGCTTTGCTTCAGTGCCACAGTGCTGTTCGCATCGCCATGACATTTTAAAGCTAATATACTGATAAAAACCATTTTCAGGGAAAGAAACTGCAAGCATTAGTCAAAGAAACAACAGAAAGACATTTAAAACCAGATCTTGAAAAGGTAATTATTAGTACTAAAAGGTTTAAGTGGAAAGACAGCGAGAGCCCTTTAATAAGATCAGATAATGGATGATAATGGAAATATGTAGAGTCTCAGACCCAGAACAAGAAATGAAAGGCGGAAGAGGAAGAGGTCATGAGAGAGAAGAGCTGAATGAAGCTGATTCTGAAAATAACACTTTCAGGGCACTTTCCCAGAGAATGTTACCCAGTAATGAAAATTCTGTCATTATTTACTCACCCACATCCAAAACCATATTTTCTTTCATCTGTGGAACACAAAAGGAGATATTTTAAAGTTCCTCTTTTCCATGCAATTGCCATGAATGGGGACTGAATCTTTCAAGCTTCTAAAAATATATAAAAATACCATAAAATTAAAAGTAAAAAGTCCTGTCTGCTATATTCACTATAAGTTACAGAACAATTTTGAAATTTAAGTTATTAACTTAAAATCTTGTCACATGCTCTAGGTGTGTTAATGAGAAAAGTAGATTTAAAGATTTAAATAGATTTTATAATAATTTTCAGTCTGTTCCTGATGTATTGCTTCTGAAGGCTTGAAGTAAAGCACATATGTTAGACCATTATTATGATATTTTTTCCCCAGTAAAACTGGATGGGGGAAAAAAAGAACCAGTACATTCTAATAAATTTCTCTTTTCATGTTCAGAGAAAATAAAGTGATGGTTTAACATCATTAGGTTAAGTACATAATGACAGAATTTTCATTTTTGAGTGAACTGTTCCTGTAAGTCATATTTCTATTGTTTCTGAGAGCATTTACCAATCCACTTTTCTGTGTAATATAGATTACAAATCCATTTCCTTGAAAAATACACCCCAGCACGCTGTCCTTTAAATAGCATATAATTTTTTGGGCTACATTTGAATAATCAGAAATGCATTAAATATATAAAAAAAACAAGAACATTATTAGATTTCTTTTGTATGATGACAAAATGGATGTAAAGAAGGAAAAAGTCATTATAATGCACATATTAGTGTGGAATTGAATGAATCAGCCCTCAGACACACACAAGTTGAGTTGACTCAGATTGGGTTTATTAGTGCTGCTAGGAGTGACACACGTAGTGACGCAGTCTAACAACACTTTCTAGATTACATTCAAAAATACTCATTGTACAGACACTCCATTCAAATCACTTATTTGAATAAGTATTATTTATAATACTTATTTGAACCCCGGAAGCTGCATGCCCATTGCATACAGCACCCCAGCATGTCTCAGAAGCATCTGTTGTAGCAACGATGCATCTGGAAACATTTTCTAAGGGCACTTCTGCCCATAGAAATGAGATGTCCTTCCAAGGGCTGAAAGCATGGACATCGCCCTGCACAGAGTCGGAATGGGAAGTGGCTGGGGTGACCGGGGGTCTTTTGGTGAAGAACCCGAGCTGCAAGCAGAACGTGCCTATGGCCAGGTCCTCGCAAGCGGGACATAAACCACCCACGAATGCTGCTTCAGTGTAAGCACGGCCCATAATACATAATAACTGCAACCAGAAGAACAGTGGAAAGGCATGATGTAAACAAACAATTCTTCCCGTGAAGCTCTTTCAGAGAATTTACTCTTTTAGGACGAAATTTGCTCTCAAAGATCGCCGTTGAAGCACCCAGGGGTACTCTCACAACACTTAGCTGTGTATGAGAAGGGAGAGACTGCTGCCTGTGCTGTAGATCCAATGATGAGGAGATCGAGAGGTGAATGACTGCCTCTTCTCACAGAGAGGCGTTGCATTTGGCTCCAAAACTTCCAAGGGCTGAAAGCATGGACATCGCCCTGCACAGAGTCGGAATGGGAAGTGGCTGGGGTGACCGGGGGTCTTTTGGTGAAGAACCCGAGCTGCAAGCGGAACGTGCCTATGGCCAGGTCCTCGCAAGCGGGACATAAACCACCCACGAATGCTGCTTCAGTGTAAGCACGGCCCATAATACATAATAACTGCAACCAGAAGAACAAGGGTGGAAAGGCATGATGTAAACAAACAATTCTTCCCGTGAAGCTCTTTCAGAGAATTTACTCTTTTAGGACGAAATTTGCTCTCAAAGATCGCCGTTGAAGCACCCAGGGGTACTCTCACAACACTTAGCTGTGTATGAGAAGGGAGAGACTGCTGCCTGTGCTGTAGATCCAATGATGAGGAGATCGAGAGGTGAATGACTGCCTCTTCTCACAGAGAGGCGTTGCATTTGGCTCCAAAAAACAGAACAAGTGAGTGAATGTTACACTGGCCTATACCCGGATATCTGGGGTGTGTCCAGCTACACAAATCAGAGATTGTCTTACTCTTGGGAGATACGAGGGTCTGTATTACTTACTATTGGAGAAAGTGTAATGGTCAACTTGGATCACGTGTGCCTTAATAACCAATCACATTACAGCCTTGACATCATTGAATTTCAGTCAGAGTTGCACGACACTGAATTGCTGTTTACAGATACCATAGGAATAAATGAGAAGTGCTGTAAGCTGTATTCCACCTGTCACAAAAAGTCCATGACTTATCTTAAAAAACGGCATTTTTTCAGTTTAAACTCTAAAAAGTTCAATCCAAAAGTATTGTTTAGTGTAAAACATGTTGAAGATTAGCCGATAGGCTGCTGATTCATTAAATGATAAGCTGTTTCCTCTAAAAGCTGTTTATTCAGCGTAGTGAAGCCTCTCCTCCATTGACATCCATTAAAAACAACAACAACAAAAAAAAAAAACGGCCTCTGGTCTCCTTTCCCACATACTGTCAAAGCGGAAGCATTAGCCGGCTGCTGATTCATTAAATGATAAGCTGTTTCCTCTAAAAGCTGTTTATTCAGCGTAGTGAAGCCTCTCCTCCATTAACATCCATTCAAAAAAACAACAACAAAAAAAAAAACGGCCTCTGGTCTCCTTTCCCACATACTGTCAAAGCGGAAGCATTAGCCGTTATGCTTTTTTGGCTGAAGGTTGTTGTGGCTAGAAGGGATACAGCAAAAACCGGAAGCTAACAATAAATTAAATTTATTAATTTATTTAATTTTTAAATTAAATTATTGTGTTTTATTAACGTCTACACCTACCCCAACCCTAAACCTACCCCTTACAATAATGCAAAAATAGTAATTATTGTTGTACAGTATGAGAAAAATTACGCTATAGCCTATTGATGTGCGCATGCCCAGTAGTTTTTGCTGTATACCTTCTAGCCTTAACCGGTTTCAGGCTTGCCTAATTTTTCTCGCCAATTGATGTCAAAGGTGTCTGGGCTCCTAAGAGTGACCCCTAGTGTCGGAAACTTCAACACAACGTCGAAGTGACTGACTGAAAGGGAATTTCACTTTTCTGTGCACAAGCCTTTGCACTACATAAAGACACTCTTACACATAGGATTACATTGCGCATAGGATTACATAGCTTACTCAGAACAAACAATAATTAGTTGCTTTTACACAATATACAATGAATGGGGGGAATGCAACACTGCATGGTAACTGAGCATGTGATTCTGCCTAAAAATGATGAATTCACTTTTATTTCTGGCTGAAATATTCCTTTTAGACTCAACGTAATCATAAATGAATAACCAGTTTAGTCTCAAATACCATAAACATTAGCTGCTTCTCAAACGGAACTTAGAAGCTCAAATTTGTAACAACAGAGACATCACGTGGAATTCCAAAGAATTGCAGCAGGCTTTAGAGGAGTTTATCCCAGCGATGTTATTATGGGTGGGATTCAGGCTACCGTTGCTGTACGTGGTAAAACGTGATATTTTACAGTGCATGAGTGATTTAACTCATGCACTTTTGTATTTCATGGCTCGATCAGCTAATGAGTTAGATATTTTTCTCTTATAGACTTATAATATTGGGCGGACCATTTAAATTGTATTAATAATAATAATTACAGCTATAAGATATGGTTTTAGTGCTTGCTTACAGAAAAAATCACTTGACAATGAAAACTGAAGAATGTAACGTAATTAAAAGTGCTTCACTGGTCTAGATTTGTTAAAAATACTGCTTTGATTCCTTCCAAACAACTGATGGACATTTACTCTGCGTTAATGCTACATATACAATGTATCGAACATGATAAATACATCAGTAGGCCTAAACAACGACCACCTCACCTGCATCTGAAGAGCTTATGTCTGCAGTTTCCTTAAAAATAAAATAAAAATGAAATAAGCTGATTATATATGGATATTAACATAACACCAAAATGAATGTTTTTTTCCCATAATAAATATTAAAAAAAATCACAGTAAACAGCATGTTACAGATCTAATTTATGCAAACAATGAAGTAAAATTAAATGGGGCCAGAGTATAATAAAAATAAAATAAAGAAACAAACAAAGACGAAAAGCTTTCCACTTCACTGACAAATCGATATTTATTTTTCTTAATATTACATGCTCTAATAGAATTTCTGCTTTTACATTCAGCCGTCACAGAATGACGGAGAAAAGCTACGAAAAGCTATTTATAAATTGAAACCATTTTTTCATATACAAGGAATTCCAATAATGATGATACAGATAATTGTGTGATTACACTCTTTTATTTGACCATCCCAGGACTACTGCACGCACCTGTGCGCCGTCTTTAAGTGACGCTCACGCAGGTAACGTACCTTGCGTCATTCTCAGAGGCGGAAACGCGGAAGCAAAGCGCGAGCACATTCCACGTCACTTGATGTGGATTTAGCGCGAGCGAGAGCCAGGATCCTGACAGGAATTTAGCGCTTTGACGTGAAAGTCGGCGGATGTGATGCCACGAGCATATTGGCTTCACCTCAAACTGACAGCGAAGGGAATATCAGCGGGTTGTAAACTGAGGTTTCATCTCAAGGTAATGTTTGTGTGCGGAGCTGTTCCTGCGGGCAGAGCGCGTGTAGCAGGCGGCTGCTGTATGTCGCTGTTTTATTGGTTATTCCGTGTTTCTTGACGCCGTGTGTCCATCAGTGCAGCTGCTGATATGATGGGTATATCTAATAATAGGTCTGTATTGCGCAAATGCTGTGTCTCAAAACATAGCGCGATACCTAAATAGCATGTTTGGAGCTTTTTGTAGCAGTGCTGCGATTCCCAAATATGATGTACGCGTGTATAATGCCCAAAAAATGTTATTTAGAGAGGCAGATAACCTCAGATTGTTGGTTATGGGCCTTTTTGCTTTGATTAATAGATTTTCACACTTTATGGATATTCTTCTTTGGCATAGTTTCGCCTTAGATTTTATGCCAGCTTTATTTAAATTACTTCTAATTTCATTGTTGCTGGCGTATAATGTTTCTAAATGTTCGTTATGTCAAATATAATGTACGTGTTTCCCACAAAACACTTACTGTTATAGCTTGTGTCTGCCATAATTTTTAACTCGCATACAAGTTTCATGTGTTGGTTTGTTTTTTTTATTACAACATTGGCATTGTCATGATTATTATGCTAAATATCTGAAAATAATTAAGTGTGCTGTAATGTTAGACTGCCATTACCCATTAAAACATGTCAGGTCAAGCAAGCTAAGTAACGCTGTCAAGGGTGTATCTCCAACTGTCACCACAAGGGTACGAGGTGTGTACATGTTTTGTAAATTTGTCAGAGGGAACACGTTTCACTGTGATTTTAGTACAGTACAGTATTAGCAGAAGGTCAGCACAGTATGCTTAATGTGCTGTAATTAATTGTGCTCAGCAAACAGTAATGCAGCTCCCCTGGATTTTTCCCTTGTGAGTCTAAATCGTTGTGGATATGGTGGGAAATTTATTTTTTGCCTATTAGACACAGAGGATGCAGAATTTTACCAGCCTTTCGGGTTTTTAGAAGCTAATTAATTAGTAAAGTGATACACAGTATTTTAATTAACATTTTCCCCACATTTGAGGACCACTGAGGACACTGTGGCTGATGGGTGGACTCTGATCTCTTTAAATTAATAGGTCTGTGTCTGCTATTATTTTTTGCAACCCATTTTAGATTACCTCTAAAGTTGTTTGACTTTTCTTTCCGTTTTCCACTAAAATACTAAGAATAATGATGAATGAGAATATAACAAATTAGACATTGTCTTAAACTTTTTCTTTCTTTCTTTCTTTCTTTTTGACAACTGTTTAAACATATTTTGAATTGTGCAAATGTCAAAATCAAGTGAACATGCAGTGCTTTTAAATTTGTAATAGTTTTTTACTTAGTTGTGATACTTGGGATTACATGTGTATATATTTTATATACATATGCATAACAGTTGTAAGAAAAGTGTAATATTTGTTTTAATAAAAAAAAAAAATTGAATTTGGGAAAATAATTCTGTTTCTAATAATTCTAATTCTGTTATCACTCATAGTATCTTTCACAGATTTATTTTAAATAAAGTATATAGTATTCATAAAGAAATTGTTAACAAGAATAAAAAGGTAGTAAACACAGTAACCAACCGTAATCTAGTAAGCCTGTGCTCACTGGGAATCATATTTTCTTAAATAAAGAGCAGGTAATGCTCATTTTACATACAGTACACAGTGTATGTGACATCGCTATACAAACTGAATATAGAGCAGCACAGTTTGAAATATGAAAATTATTAATGCATTTGTCTTTTAGTAGTTAGACAGAACTGTTAAACAAAGGCGGTGAACTAGTGAAGGCTCAAATGTGTCTTGCCAACTTTCCCTGCACCTGTTTATCAAACTATTAACAAATTGGTTCCTTAAGAGTTTGTTTTTGTTTCTAAATAACAGAATTTCTTATCAGATGCGAGACATGTTGCCTTGTAGAGAAGCCAAAATTACCAAAATGATTTGGCTGGTGGTCATTTCCAATCCTGTTTGTGTCTCTTTGTTAAGGCCGTCATGCTAATTCTGAGTCTGTCTTTTTACCTGTTTGCAGGGTGTCCGATCTGGTGCTCGATCTTAATGGGCGAATCAGGGACACGCCGCTCCACCCTGGTCTCCAGGCTTCCCATCTTTAGACGTAGTGTGCGAAAGAGGCAGGACTCGCTCCCCTCCTCACCCTCGTCCGGTGGTGTTGGCAATGGCGTCCACACTTCCTCTCCCTCCAGCACGAATTCCAGTTCCAGCAGCACGAGCAAACGGCGCAGCCTGTTCCGCACACCGTCCCTCAGCTTCCACAGTAAGAGGAACAGCGACCCAACCCAGCTCAGCCTGGACAATCACAGCCAGGGATCTGAAGTCACCTTTCGAGATGGTTCCATCTCAAAGACGCGGCATTCATTCGGATTTGGTGGACACAAGAAGAAGATCACCCGATCTCAGACGGAAAACCTTGAGAAAGTGTCCGCTAACCGCAGCGTGTTTATTAATTGCATCAGCTCAGGGACCAATGAGGGAGATGATTCAGGGTTCCTCGATGATGTGAGCAGCAAGAGGTCTTCCAAGCATAAGAAGCAGCTGCTGTCCAAGTCCTTATTAGCTCGCCAACGTTTTTCCAAGAACTTGTCCAATGTCCCAGACCAGGGTAAAGGTCAGGATGGTGTGGAAGATCCTCCTAAAACTGGTACCCCAGGTTCCTCGCCTGGAGAACTGGCTGAGAGTTCTCTACAGTCGCCCATGATCTCAGAAGACCGCACCACGGCAATAACACCATCTGATTTTGTTCACATCACTGAAGACTCGGTCTCAGAAGTTGACGCTTTGCCAGCCCCCAGTCCAGCTGCTCCACCTGAAAACTTCAGCCAAGCTGTTTCTCTGTCGCTGGTGCCCTTCTCCCCAGCCCAGGCCCGCACGGAAAAGCACTTACTGCCAGATACCAGCCACACAGCCAACACACAGCGTGAGAGCACCACTGCCCATACGGAACCAGTACTACTGCAGACAGTGAAAGAGCTGAACCCTAACACTAACCTTAATGCTAATGCTAACCCTGACCAGTCAGAGGCCAGTGAGATTGAGCAAGCTCCAGAACTGAGTGAGGACAGCAGCTCCAACCCAGACGCCCGTGAACGGCGGTCTAGGAACACTGTACTCATCCAGCAGGCAGGAAGATCATCAGGCCTGAGCAAACTAGAGACCAGGCCAAGTCACCTGAGAAAGCCGCACACAGGTAATGTCAGCGAACTCAGCTGCTGCTTTGTTTGTTTATATAGAGGAGCAAGTTTTGTGGGAAATTATTCACATACTTGTTCTATGATAGAAACGTGTTAATCTTTGATCTTTAAACCAGTTTCACTAATCTTTCACTGAGATTTAATCTGTAGCTCTTATGACCTCAGAGCTTCCTAGATAACTTTCTGCTTTCACCAAGATAATGAACTGCTCTGATTGACACTTTACTTTCACATGAGGCCATGGATGCTGAAGTTTCAAAAAATGTTTGGAAAGAAAAAACAACGGAAAAGTTGGGTACTACAGGTATTCATGAAGTAGTTTTTTCTCGTTAAATTGGTTTTAAATGTGACAGCCAAATTAATTGTCCTCACAATGTTTTTGGTACATCGTAAGGCAAAATGATTTGACCAGCTATCTGCACGTTTTCTTGCTGTTACACAGCTACTTGCCAAAAAAAAAAGGCAAGGCCTGAAGTATTAATGTGACCTGAAATGTATTTATTATAAAAGAAGGGACCTCAGAGAGAGAGAGAGAGTGAATATACATTTAAAACCGTTGAGTAATTTTTTTTTTCAGGATTCTTTGATGAATAGAAAGATCCAAAGATCAGCATTTATCTGAAATAAAAAAACTTTTGTAACATTATACACTATTCCATTCAGTATAATTTTTATAAATTTTTTGGGAAAGAAATTATAGAAATTAATACTTTTATTTAGCAAGGATGCTTAAAATTGATCAAAAGTGATGATAAAGGCATTTATAATGTTACAAAAGATTTCGAATTCAGATAAATAGTGTTCATATCGATATCGGAATTCTATCGTATCGACCGAAATTAAGAAATATATTGTGATATCAATTTTGGCCATATCGTCCAGCCCTAACATGAATGAATATAGCACAGATACATGTAGAAACTTTTTTTATGGCAACGATAGTCAATTATATTGTGTAATGGGTCAGTATACAAAATATTGAAAAATACTGTGATTGACCAATCAGCATGTAGTATTCCAGAGAGCCACGTAATATGCTAAATGAGAAGTCGGTTAATGCTGGAGAGATGTCAGGCATCAGATACTATTAATACCACATTATTCATTATTTGTAATGAATTAATCTTTCACATAGTTGATTATCACATTTGTGTTTTAAAAATGACATTTAAGCCCTCATGTAAGAACCTATAAAAGCTCTGCATAACATGTAACCTTAAACTGAATGTGTAACTGATCTTCACAGCTCTGGAACTGCTGAAAGCTGAAACTAGTATTTTTATACACGCAAACAAAAACTGGGAACTTTATTTAAAAAACAAAACATTCACCCCTCCCTTTAGAAACAATACTTTATGCTCCAGTTTGGCTGTAGTTTTCTTATGACCTGTGATTTTTTTTTTTCCCTTCTGTAAATTATACTTTTACCTTTATAAGTGCTTTCATTCCAGCATGCCTGTGGCTTAGAGGTTTATGGGAAAGTAACGAGCTCCGCTGTATTGAATTTCCTCTAGTGATGACCTGATATTGGCTTTACTATGGATCCTCTTGCAGGAGAGAGTGAACTCTACACTCAGTGGTTTCATTTACAATTACAGGCTTGGGGTCTGTTGTTTACCATGTTGGCAGCATATTATTTTGGTAAAACAAGTATTCCATAAACCCTTTTTTTGTTTAATTTAGATATGCTGGAAATTTGAGCCAGTTTATTTTTTGCATGCTTTTTCCTTGTGAATATATTTACAGCAATCACTGTTATTGTGTCTTTTTATGCAGGTTTTCTTGTGACTGTGTAGGTTTTGGGCTTTGACTTAATATCGGTATATTTCTTTGATTGTGAATATTTGTGTCAGTATAGGATCCAGGATTAAAGCATTTTTGATGATAGTACAGTCCTGAAACATAATTAATGACTCTTTGTTAGACTGTTTCACCTATCCATGTTGTTTAGATTTTAATATCTAGGTTAAGAGATAAACTAAACTTATTTTGTGCAAATCTGATGCAGTGGGTGAGTTGTAGTTTGTGCCCTAGGCTTGACACTTTTTTTTCTTTGTGTATTTAATGTCTTTGCTACATGTTTTACATATTCTTTAGATTGTGACCTACAGCCTAATTTAAAGTCCGTTGAGATCTATCTATTTCTGTACATATGGTGAGATACTGTTGAAATTTAACTTGGTAACAAGGTGGTTTCCATATTTATATTTTCCACTACATTTGAATATTGTTATATATATATATATACACATGTATATATTTTAAAAACTATATATATTGTATATATTTTTTATTCATATAGAATTTGTAATATATAAATATTTTATATATAAATTTTTTTTTAAAAATATATACATGCATATGTGTGTATTTATATATACATAATAAATATACAGTACACACACCTATATTATGTAAACAAAAACATTTATTTTGGATGCGATTAATCATTTAACAGCTCCTTTTTAAATATCGGCATCGGCTGATAAGTTTTCCTGTTTGGCCGATGCGTTCGATGCAGAACTTTTATTTTGACGGTGCTGAGAACGGCAGCGCCTGAGCACACAGTGCTCACATTCTCTCTGTTGTTGTCGTTAACAGTTCTGTCTAATACGGATAGAATGCAATTTTGTGATGCAAATTCATTTATGGCACCTCTCAGCTTTATTAAAAAGTCTGTGTAAATTAGTGGTTGACCGATATATCGGCCGATATTTGACTTTTTTTTTATACGTTTTTCTGTTTGGCCGATGTGTTCGAGGTGGGACTTTTATTTTGACAGCGCGGCAGACTTTTATGTTGACGGTGCTGAGAACGGCAGCGCCTGAGCACACAGTGCTCACATTCTCTCTGTTGTTGTCGTTAACAGTTCTGTCTAATACGGATAGAAGTCTTTCTAATAATCAGATAGAACGGTTAAACAAAGGAATTAAAATGTATACAAAAAGTCTTTTAACGATTGCTTTTATATTATTAGTAACGGAAAGGCAAACATTATAATAATTTCTAACCCCGCCTTTCTGAAACTCGCCTTCAAGACATGGCGGCGGTGGCAACAACAATACTATAGCGAGAATAAAAGTTACGCCTCCTTTCTTTGCGTGAACATTTGGGTGGCGTTATGCAAGTCTTCGCACATCGTGATGTAGACATGTGGGGGCGTGTTAGAACGAGCCGTTTTAGGTAGGCATGGTTGACTCTTAACTTTTATAAAGAATATCTCTTTAGATTTGAGACTTTAGTCTTTGCAACTTTACAAATCTTCTTTATGCACCAAGAGCTTGTAACACTTCAAAGAGAAAGGAAAAATTGAAATCGCATCATATGACCCCTTTAAATATTTATGTATTTGTGAAAAATACTGTCATCTAAAATTATGTTTATTTAGCACATTTATTTTTTTAAATAATTTTTCAAATGATTTCAAATTTCTTAAATATTGATTAAAATAAATAAAATTATATCGGTTTTATATCGGCCACCCTGATTTTCAAAGTTATTGCATCGGCTGTCAAAAAAACAATATTGGTCGACCACTAATATATAAATTCATATATCATATCATATCATATCATAATGTGTAATCTAATACAGTGAATTACGAAGTTTTGCAATTGTTATTGTCCGCTGCTTCATAACTCAGAACTGTTGGCCAGCAGCTCTTTGTTTTGAGGGATATGATTCTTTATGATTCTCTAATCTATGTTTGTTACAGTGTCCATGTGCAGCAGTGTGAGCCCATACCATGAGGTGATGCGCATGGAGAGACGTCTGCGGTCAGCCTCTGAGGGTGCAGGAGGACCCAGACTTCACCTCAACCTCAGGGACCCTCACTGCATGGAGGGCAACACTTTATACAAGCAGAGAACCAGTTCCTCATCTTCCAAACTGGGCAGCATGGTAAGTATAATGCCATTCCATTGCTCAAGCTCACATTTTCAAAACACATGACTGTCTTGTAAAGCCCTTGATGTAGACCAGGGATGGCGAACTCCGGTCCTGGACAGCCGCAGCCCTGCAGAGTTCAGCTCCAACCCTAATGAAAACTCACCTGCCTGTAGCTTCCTAGTAACCGTTCAGACCTTGTTTAGCTTGTTCAGGTGTGTTTGATTAGGGTTGAAGCAAAACTCTGCAGGGCTGTGGCTCTCCAGGACCAACGTTCGCCACCCCTGATGTAGACTCTCACTGCGTCTTTCAAAGGGATTAAATTCCCTTCCAGCGATATAATCGCAGTGCTTAATTAAACAGACAAATCCTCTCACACCATTTTACCCAGCAGGGCCATGGGTCACTTTCCCTCTGTAGAAGATTCCAGTGCCTGAACATGTAGAGTACCTAAAACTTTTTATTAAACCCCAAAGTTATGTTGTTTTGCAGAATTGTATCTTCAAAGGGATTGTTGAAATTTCAATAATTTTTTAATTTTTTCATTTCAAACCTGTACAACTTCCTTTTTCTTTGGAACACAAACTAGAGTTATTATAGAGAAAAAAACATAAATATAAAAACTAATTCATAAAAAAACTAATTCAGTAAAATAACAGTGACACAAAGTATTTTTGAATCATGTACTGGTTGCTCGTTATGATGCCGTTTCAGTGAATGCAGACTGAGTCTTTCAAGCTTAAAAAAGACACGAAAGGAGATGAACACAGCTATTGTATGACTTCAGAATTCTTGTAATATATTGCATATATACAGCATATGCTAAATGCACATATATATGTGTATAGTAATAGCCCCAGTACTCATTAACATTCATTATGGGTGTGCCATATCATACCGTCCACGATAATACTGGTATAAATTTTTACATGATGATAAAGTGTCATATCGCGATATCAATGATATAGCAATGCAATGATGTTTGGCGCATTTACGTTCCCTAGCGCGCACAACAACACCATAAACCCAATAGGTGTGTTCGACTTGAAGCAGCGCTACGCAGACTGATCGGTGTATGACATCAAAGTATCGCGAGACATATTCGAGCGCACACTCTTACCGTCAAAAATAGGCGAGGCACATATCTTTAGCGAAGCAGCGCGGAGAGCCGCTTCTGAAACGTGCCGCGGCGCCGCTGGTGTAAACACAAGCATTGACTAGAGTGGCCGCGTCGAAGCCAAAACGCGCCGCAGACGCGTGCAGTGTAAATTAGGGGTAAATAAGTTGTAAGTCACCGATCGGTCTGCTTCAAGTTGAACACACAGCTGCTGCTGCCACCTTATGACAATAGATTTACACTTCGAACTAGGTAGTTTGTCATCGATGACAGTAGCTCATTGGAAAAGGATGGAAAATGCCCTTCATTTCGTTTGCACTAGTAAATGCTGCTGCCTGCCAGCTGCAATCACCAATAAAATGTTGTTCCATTTTTTTTTTTTTTTTTATATATCATCATAAATATCGTTATCGCAAATATTCCTGAAATATCGTGATATCATTTTGAGGCTATATCACTCACCCCTAACATTCATTATATTGAAAAGGGTGGACAAGATATTCTTCAAAAATTCACACTTTTGTATTCCACAGAATCAAGAAAGACTAATTAAATAGAGAGCAGTTATGTGTATTCAAGAGGTTTCAACTGATTGTAGTATAAATACACCTTTACTTAGAAGGTCCAGATTCTGTGGAGTCAGTATTGTGGCAGAACCTAGACCTGAAGAAAAAAGTACAATCAAATCTACTCTGAAAAGTAATTCAAAAGCCCAAAGCAGGTGAAAGATATAAGAACATTTCCAAGTCATTAAATATACGCTGTGAAATGCAGTTAAATCAATAATTACGAAATGGAAAAGTATGGCACTGCTGTGAATCAACCTAGAACAGTCTGTCCTCAAAAACTGAGCTACTGTACGAGAAGCAGTTTTGTGTGATGAAACTTCAGTAATGTCTAGTTCTCAACATAAAACAGTTTGAGCCTTTTTGTTCTGCAAGTATTTATTAAAGCCACCATCTGTTTATTAAAAGCTGACTATAGAAAAATTCTGTCCTTTAATCTCTCCACAAGACCTCACAATGAACCTGTGGATTATGTGTAATAACAGGAGCACTGTTCACAGCAGGCCATTTGAAGTCCAACAGTGATTGTGTTGAAGTTTGTTAAAGGCGGTGGAGCACAAACAGTTCTTTAATTCCTGTAGTGGTGTTTTCAGTGAGAACAAATATATACAGAGTATTTATATTTATATTTATATTTATATTTATATTTATATATATATATATATATATATATATATATATACATATATATATATATATATACAGTGCTAACTGTTAGCATCATAAATTACTACCAAAGGCTTCAGATATACAAAGACGGTGCACTCATATTATGAAAATGAATGAAATGCAATGTGCATTATGGTGTAACAAATACCGCCTTCTAAATAAGAGAGCCAGTTGCCAATTGGTAAAGTCATGACATCACTGCAGCTGCCATTAGAAGCTCTGGTCACCATCGAAACAGTCATTGTCCTGAGACCCACACTTGGGACTGACTGCATATGCACATTGGCTGGGCCAACCTGAAATATAAGCTTTTTATAACACTATTTGAGCATAAGAAGCAGCATTTACAGTTTATATCAAATTTTGTTGATAATTTGAAATATTTTTTTTTAACTGTGAATGTGGCAAGCAGTTTTTGAGATTTCCGGATTTCCCCATTCAAGTCGATAGGATACCCAAAATATGGGTGCCAAGTGAACAGACTTTCCTTGAAAGGGACTTTGGTACTGCACACTTTCAGCATGCTAAAACACTTTCAAATATTTAAAAAGGGTCTCTACTTAAATGTACCAATGCTGAAAATATATAGTCGACCTAACAGAATAGTAACAAGATAGTCAACCATACTAACCCATCCCTATATTCACTAGTAGCTTGCTGCTTGGAAATTTACACTGATTTGAAAACAGCTAAACTACTGTCCCACTACTGATAAATGTACACTATTATTCAAAAGTTTGGGGTTGTTAAGATTTTGTAATGGTTTTAAAAGAAGTATCTTATGCCCACCAAGACTGCATTTATTTGATCGAAAATACATACAACAGAAATATTGTGAAATATTATTACAACTTAAAATAACTGTTGTAATAATACAAAAGCAATTTATTACAATATATTGCTGTCAAGCAAAGCTGAGTTTTCAGCAGCCATTACACCAGTCTTCAGTGTCACATGATCCTTCAGAGGTCATTCTAATATATTAGCATTTATTTGAAGTAGAAATCTTTTGTAACATTATAAATGTCACTTTTGAATCATTTAATGCATTCTTGCTGAATAAAACTATAATATCCTTCAAGGAAAAAAAACCTTATTGACCCCAAACTTTTGAATGGTAGTATAAAGTTAGAAGTGACTATTTTTAGCTGGTGCCAGTCATTGGTGTTATAGGGCTGACAGATAAAGAATTAAGCTTGAGAGAGATTTTACACTGTATAGACAAAAAACAATTAGTAATGTAAAACAATGGCGCGTACTTTTGGCTAGTTCTTATAAAGTTATAAAGGCTTTGTTTGGTTTCTGAATAATGTAGCCTGCACCTGCACAGCTTGAGGCCAAAGTAATTGCTCTTGTTTTCCAGCGTAGCAGAGGAAAACGCCACATCCTGTGTTATTGTTCTTTAATGCTCGCTAAGGTGCCACTGCTAATTTGTCATCAAGTCATGTGCCATGCAAAATTTGTGAGTGAGAGTTACCTTTACTGTGGCTGGGCTGACCTGGCCTTTCCATTTACATTATCCTGTTTGGCAGTTGTTCTTGGATGAGGCTACATCCTGAAGGCAGCGTGTCTGAGCAGGTTTGTCAACAGAAATCGGAAATCTTAGGAAACATGCTGTATTTTTTGGGTGACTTTGAGGATCCAGAATCTTGTGTTCTTGAAGCTGTGCCAGATAAAGATACATTTATATGTGAGCCTTCATTTTAATTGCCGGATGAAACGGATTTGTCGAAGGAAAATCCTCTTCTACGGTGCAGTCGTTCTGCAGTCAAGTTCAGAGAAAGGGCAACATTTTGTGTTGTGCAAGCTACACGGAACAATGAACATTGTTATCCGTGATGTCTGATTTGCGAATAAATGAGTCGGTTCTTAATGAATTAGTCTCAAACATGTCCCAAATTCAAAGGTTGTTTGTATGAATTGGTCTAATAACTGACTCGCTTACTGAAGCGTGAGTCATTTTCAAAATTTAACTTAAGCATGAAAAACAGTGATATTTATTTAAAAAAAATGGTTGAAAAAGAAATATATATATATATACTATAAAAAAAAAAACTATATATATATGTGTGTGTGTATATATATATATATATATACAGTGGGGAAAAAAAGTATTTAGTCAGCCACCAATTGTGCAAGTTCTCCCACTTAAAAAGATGAGAGAGGCCTGTAATTTTCATCATAGGTATACCTCAACTATGAGAGACAAAATGAGAAACAAAAAACCACAATTGGTGGCTGACTAAATACTTTTTTGCACCACTGTGTATATATATATATATATATACATATACATATACACATACATATTACATTGAGGAAAAAAAAATAACTTAAATGATTTTAGCAAATGGCTGCAATATAACAAAGAGTGAAAAAGTTAAGGGGGTCTGAATACTTTCCGTACCCACTGTGTGTGTATGTATGTGTGTGTGTTCCATTTTAAAAGCCAGTTGCTACCTACTCATTTTTGTTTTAAGCCCTCTTAAAAAAGAAGCGGGTAGAACACAAGTCATCAGGGCAGTTATTTGAGATTTGACTTACTAGTCACATGGAGCGCAGCGTCCTGGAGATGTTGTCCGACATGTGTGTGTGTGGATTCTGTTTTAAAGTTTTAGCAGATTTTTCTAAGCTGAGTCTGTAATCACCAAAGAATGTAAATGCTCATTAACATACTTTTTATGGGGATGATTCATATAACTTTATGTAAACACAAAGACAGGCAGGAAAAGGGAAGTATTCCATTGTCACAGTGAGAACTTGTGGTCTTCTCACTTCTCTCAGGGGAAGCACGCCAGTTACTGCTCTCTGTGTTCTTCAAACATTCACATTTGAGGAACTACAGTAGTTTCCCATTTCTGTAATCTTAGGCCAACACGCTTGTAAATCACATAAGTGTCATTTGGTGATTTTGGTTTGCTTTTTGCTGCTTCATTTGCATCAAGATGGTTCTTGCTTGATACAGCCTAATTGTTTTTAGCTTGCAATCAACCTTCATATTGTAGAGCAGGAGACTTTGTTCTTGCCGATGAATGAAACATTTGGCAGCAGCTAGTTAGCTGAATGTGCCTAAAGGGCCTGAGTTTCACTTGTGAGAAAGCTGCTTTATTGGATCAGGCCTTATTTTGCTCAATATGTTTTGGCCTAGACTTGAAATTAGCCGGTATTTTTTTTTAATCGAGGTTGTCTCTGCAATGTTATTGAAACCTGTACAAACCAAATTTGCTAAAAATAACATTCAACAGTGTTATTCAATTATTGTTCTTAAATATTATTTTAGGTAAGCGTTAGAGGATGACAAAGGCAATCTAAATGTAAAGATGAAATGAGATTAATTGAGCTGTGTTGGCTATACTAATAAAAAAAACTTAATAAAAAAATCTCCTCTCATAAGATGGCGAGATTTTCTATTTTAAACCATTTAATAAGCCTGTGCTGTATCTTGCAACCAATAACTTTTGTTGTATGTCATAAACTAACACATGTCCCTTGCTGCTCATGTGCGAAAAATGTCATGTCTCAATTTTTACCATTTCTCCCTAACATTACTTCAATATCTCACTACTGTACCAAGAGACTTTAGATGTTCTTAACATCTTGCAATGGACTTTAAGTGCGGGTGCCCTGAGTTAAGCTCAGGCCATTTCCTAATCCATTGGATACATTTGTGCAAATGTTTTCTGACCCCTCATAAGAATTTCTGGTAGCAGCACAGATTGGTTCTGAATGTGTCTGAGGTTGTATCCTTGCATAACCTGCTTACGTGTAACCTGTTAGATTGCCTTGTCAAATAGTGTTTGTGTTTATTTTCTCAGAGTTATTTAAAAACATTTTTGAAGTGATTTCTGAAATACGAAGGGAGGAAAAGTTGTTTACATTAGCATTGAACTGTTTTGTCCTTTTTGTCGAAGGGCCGCAGGATATTTCGTTAATAAGTAAAGCATGTTTTCTCCTGACACTGACATGAAAAGATCAGAAAAATCTATCTGAACATCGGGAGATGGAGAGTGAGTCACACCAAATGTCAGCTCTCTGTTACCTTCTCAATCCCTCAGAAATAAACTCATGAGGAAAAAAAGACTATCTTTTCATTGCCTCTTTTTTGACCTTGTTGATTGAGACAGTTTGCATGCTTGTGCAAACCAACCTGTGGTTGGCCATTTATGTTCACAAAGACATTTATGAATCATGACACTGGTCTTCTTTAATATATCTAAATAAACTGTCTGAACAGGTCACTGAATAAGGCCATTTACTTCATCAATATTACATTCATACTGAGATTGTAACAGTAGTGATGCATTGTTCATTTTGTCATTTGGCGTCGTAATATTTCACAGAGGTAAAGGCCAGGCCGTTTCATATCCTGAGAGTCTTAATTAGGTGCCCAGTGACCCTTTCATTTCTAGCAAAGTCAAAGTTAAGGATTTTTTCTGTTCTGATGCACTATCCACTACTTTGCTGCTCTGTCTTGTTTAATTAGCCACAGAGCTGTGCTTTTCCTCTTTAATAGGACATAATAGCGGCTCTTTTGCCTTTTTGTCTTTTACATGCACTTTTAAATAGAATTAGCTTGAAATAATCCATATTAGAGCTTTGCTGAGTCTGGTTTGTGTGCTAGAATAAACGACCCCGTTTTATTATTATTAGTAGTATTTATTTATTTATTTTTTACTTTAGCTTTCAATCTTAAGGTGTTTTTTCCTGCTGGGCACAAGATGGCAGTGTGACACTTTGGTTTGAGCAATATGCAGGTTTTCTGCTTCCTGAGTGCACAGTGGATTTTTTTTTTTTTGTGTGTGTGTTTAGTTGAATGTGTGGAAAGGTTGCTCTGGAGGAGTCTTTCAGTCAAATTAAATCCTCTTTTGTCATCTTGCTTTAATAAAGAGACCATGACACACAGCTGGAGGTTTGGGCTGAATTTAAGAAAGTCATTAGTCACTTAACTGCAAAGTAGAGACTTTACATTGGATTCTAAATATGTTATAACTACTAAAATATCAATCTTGTATGGATACCAGTTCTTAACAGTAAGGACATTTCTTTTTCCTATTGGCCTGATCATAAAATTTTTACTGATCCTCATTTTTACCAGTTTTGCTTCAATTTATATTTTAACTAAACTAAATGTTCCTGTGGCTCAGTGGTAGAGCATTGTGTTAGCAGCGCAAAAGGTCGTGGGTTCGATTCCTAGGGAATACGCATACTGGTAAAAATGTATAGCCTGAATGTACTGTAAGTCGCTTTGGATAAAAGCGTCTGCTAAATACATAAATTATTGCATTTAAATTATTATAAACTATGTAATTTTAACATTTTTAAAATCATGAATAATACATTAAAATAAATGTATAATAAATTTATATATTTAGATCGTATATCTGAATTTATAAAAATATGTAATTTATTTGCAGCAAGAACTGAAATTAACATACTTTAAATGTATATTTACTATATTCTTTAATTATAAATTAATTAAATATGTGAAACTACATAACCCCATTTGTTGGTGAATTATGGCATGGAATGTAAAATGGACCCAGAGCCATATTCATGGAGCTCTCCTTAGCAAAAATGTTTTATTTTGGCCCTTGCATGATAGTTTTTCTCCCTTTTCCAGGATGTTTTGAATAACCTTGGCTCATCCGAGTTGGATGAGGATGACCTGATGCTGGATCTTGACCTCTCTGATGACCAGCGACCTCAACACGGTATGTTTTTACCAGACTCCAGTTGCTCTCTTCTCTTTGCTTCAAACTCTTCAACATGTATTGTGGGGTTTATCTCTCATTCATATTCATGCTGTTAAATCTCTGAATATCTTGTTATAGTAATTACATATCGTTATAATAGCTGCAGCGCTTGAAGAAATGATTTTTGCCGTAGATAAAGATGAGACCTTATTCCCCCCAGCTTTAGCTGAAGAAGACATGGGCAAGTCTTCAGATTTTAATACCTTGTAAAATATTACACCATAAAGTTATGCACGCATACAATTATGAATCAGTCATGTCATCTTAAATTTCCAAATGTTCTGATATTTGGGGAGGAGTTACATGCACGTTAACAAGCACCACAGGCAAAGCCTCTAGACAGATAAACACTGCAAATGTCATTGCTGATATTTACTAAAGAAGTTTTTTTTTTTTTTTTTTTCCACAAGAGAAATAAATTTCGCAGCGCCTGTGCACAAAATCATTTTGGCATGAACTACCCCTAAATCAGGGTTTTGCTTCAGGACCCAGATTACACATTGGACAATTTGGCGACCCAACAATGTACAAAATTTTGTTTGTTGTACAAAAATGTTTAAAAAATATAAATGAACACCTCATTTCAAGGAAATAAAGAAATTTAAATCTTGTTTTCACCCAGAAGCTTTTTTTTCTCTTTAATTTGCTGTTACAGCCTCACGGGAGGATTCCAGTCAATCCCTTGCATCATGCCTCAACCTGCTGCCCTCACCCCTGGAGGCCTCCACAGACAGGACCCCTGGAAGAGAGCCCAAGGAGACCCCTCTCAGGTATCTTTTCCTCACTGCAGCTTCTCTGCATACTCTTAATTTCACAGATGCACTGTGAACACTTTATTGACTCGGTAATGGTGTGTACCTGTTGTTACAAGCCACACAGTGATCATCCAATTGTTTCTTGAACTGAATAGATTTGCAGAGCTCACCAATAAGGATTTTTCTGCTAGCCCAGTCAGACTTGTAGTTCCGATTGTTACTTACCTGCCAACATTTTCACCAGCACTACAAAGAAAATGGATATTAGAAATAGATAAAAAAAGAAAATAAATTAGTACTTTTATTCAGCGAGGATGCAGTAGTGCATTCATCAAAAGTGACTGTAAAGACATATACAATGTTATAAAAATATATATTTCAAATAAATTATTTTCTTTTGAACTTTCTATTCATCACCGTATCACCGTTTCCACAAAAATATTAAGCAGCAGAATTGTTTTCATCATTGATAATAATAAGAAATATTATAAAATATAGCACCAGATCATCATATTAGAATGATTTCTGAAGGGTCATGTGAAGGCTGAAGGCTGGAGTAATGGCTGCTGAAAAATCACCTTTGCCATTACAGGAATAAATTACATTTTAAAATGTATTAAAATAGAAAACAATTATTTAAAATTGTAATAATATTTTGCAAAATTACTGTATTTTTGATCAAATAAATGCAGTCTTTGTGAGCATATGAGAATGTTCGAAAACATCTTAAAATCTTCAAAAATTAGTCGGCACTGCAGTGCAGAGACATTATAAAATTCATATTTGTTCTAAGTCATCTCTTTTATAAAATCATTTCAGTTCTTAATAAAGATGATAATTCCTAAAATGTCTTTTTTTTTTTTTTGGTCCATACACCAAATATCATCTTTTGTGTTCCACAGAAGAAAGAATGTCATTCAAGTGATCTGTGCTTCAGTTTATGACATATGTTAAACGGTTAGTTCACCCAAAAATGAAAATTAGCCTGTGTTTTACTCACCCTCGGAGCATCCTAGGTATATATGACTTTCTTCTTTCAGACGAATCCAATCTGAGTTATATTAAAAATGGTCCTGGCCCCTCCAAGCCTTTCAATGGGGTAAGCGGGTGTTTGTTGTCAACAGTTCAGAAGACGTGAAATAAAGTGCGCACATCCGTAATAAAACGTCCCTCACACGGCTCCGGGGCATGAATAAAAGCCTTCTGTAGCAAATCCATGCATTTTCGTAAGAAAAATATCCATATTTCAAACGTTTCAACACTTTTCTCTCACTTCCGGTATTCTGTCATATGCAGAAGGCTTTCCAGCGGATGACGTAGGATGTCGGCATTGCGTGATTAGTGACGTGCATGGAGAGAGAACAAAGCAAAACACCGGTCACGAATTAGAAGCACAAAACGAGGATTTGTAAAGAAAAATGTCGGAGGATTTCTATATAAGCCAAGAGGAGACTGGTTTTCCTTTGCTAAAGTAAATAAACTTCGCTTCCTTTGCTCCTGCATTTCTCAGAGGCGTGTGCACGACGCCTACGTCATCCGCCTGAACGTCTTTCGCGTACCACAGTCAGCGGAAGTGAGAAAAAAAGTGTTTATTACGTTTGATATATGGATATTTATCTTACAAAAACGCATGGATTCGCTATAGGAGGCCTTTATTCACCTCCCCCAGAGCCATGTGAGGGACGTTTTATTACGGATGCGCGCACTTTCATGTCTTCTGAACTGTTGACAACAAACACCCGTTTACTCCCATTGAAAGGCTTGGAGGGGCCAGGACAATTTTTAATATAACTCCGATTGGATTCGTCTGAAAGAAGAAAGTCACATACACCTAGGATGCTTCGAGGGTGAGTAAAAGACAGGCTAATTTAAATTTTTGGGTGAACTAACCCTAAATATATGCAAAGGAAAGCTATGAAATATTTATAAATAAACATTTAATAGCATTTAAAATAACATTTAATGTATAAAACTGGAAATTTTGAAAAGAAAATAACATTTAGGGTGCTTTCACACTTGGTTCGCTTGCCTGGTCCGATACAGTCTATGATCTGAACCCGAGTTCGATTGCTCCCCCCTCCCCCTGCCCCCGCTGGACTGCGTTCATATTATTTTATTTGGGTCCGAACCGCAGTTTGTTTGCGTCATCAAGCCAGCAGCTGTTTACCCCTTTACACCCTTTTTAAGCGGACTCGGGTACGGTTTGCGGGTGTGCACCCGAGTTCGGAAGACAGCGTTCACATCATCCAAACAAACCGAACTCTGACGTCAATCGAACCTGGGTGCGCACCAGAAGTGCTAGTGTGAAGCACCCTTAGTAACAGAATCTTTGACGTACAAAAAAGCAGCAAGCATGTCAAATGATCCATCATCATCCATCATGTAAATAATGATGGATGATATATTGATGGAATTAAGTTTTTGTTTCCAGAGACTTGCACCCTCTCTATGTGTGCTATAAGTATATTGCACTATTCTAAGAATTTTCATTTTGGAGCATCAGTACTCATTTGAGGGATTGTCCTACTATGTTAAACAGAAGCACAGCTTTAGCCAGTTTTGAAGCATTTTGATGAAATGAATTCACAGAGTACCAAATAAACTACAGTGATCACGAACTAGCAAGCCAAGAAATACAGTCATGACAATGCTGATGTGAGATTAAACTAATTTATACAGTTGTGTTCTCAGTGGATGCGAGTCCTACTTCATCCACTGCTTTGCATCTTGTTCCCTAAACTATCGAAGTTTCTCTGATGTATTGACATGGGCATTGACTGCGCCAACAGTTTGTATGATTTGATAACATTTTTAAATGAAAATGTCTTCTCTGACTGGCAGTTTTATCCTCATGCGTAATGACAGCAGAGTCATTTCAAAACTGGATGAATCCCATGTGGACACAAAGCAAATTATATTAGCATGGAAATTAGCCTAGAAAATTGAATAAATTTCCTGACCTTATAATTATTTGTACAGTTTTTAGAGCATGCCCCAAAATAGAGCAGGTTTATTTTGAAATTATTACACAATGTACCCAACCTACTACATGTCAACTACTTGTAATATGTCCTGTATATGTTTTTTTTGCATAAGTAGAAGGCTTAATGTTTAAATTCAACACCCCAGTGCTAAATATTACCTTATATTGCTGAAAGGTTATGAGTGGTACTTTTCCAAACCTACACTGTTATAAGAAATTTTATAGTATATTTGAGCTAGCGAATGCCTCATAAAATCCGTGTTGCTTCTAGAAAGCGTATTTTCACCTTGTCAGCAGGTGGTGATTGAATGACCTTGTCTTGATGTCTTTGACATTTGCCCTGCAAGCCAGTTTTATTTTGGTTTATGTTGCATCTGAGGAAGTTCTGTGATTATTTTCTAAACTTATGGTACCCCAGGACTGTTCTGTTCTCATCATGTTTAAGATCTCACAATTTGTGCTATGATTGTCTGACCCTGTTATTGATAAGGGTTTGTGCCTTTTCATCGTCAGACTATCTTTAGTCTACAATCTTTAGTATCTTTTAGTTTTATTTTTTATTTTTTAAATAAACAACAGTTCATAGTGTTCTAAAACCAAAAAGACTGAAAAACACCATAAAAGACAGAAGTAGTCCATATGACTTGTACACAATATTTTGAGTCTTCTGAAGCTTTATGATAACTTTGTGTGAGAAATAGCCTAAAATTTAGGTTATTCTATACTGGAAAATTTTCCTTCCACTGCGTCTTAATCTATGCGTCTCTCTTTAGCACCAAATCAGAATAATATTAGAATAAGTTTTGAAGGATCATGTGACACTGAAGACCGAAGTATTGGCTGCTGAAAATTCAGCTTTGCCATCACAGCTATAAATTATATATTTAAATAAATTAAAATAGAAAAGTTATTTTAAATTGTTATAATATTTCAAAATATTACTATACATTTTTTTTTATTAAATAAATGGAGGGAGCATAACATAAAAACATAAAATCTTCCAAACCCCAAACTTTTTTGAACAACGGTATGTTTGGATGCATCACATTTGGATATGACACGCATCTGAGTGTGTGAATAATGACTTAAATTTCAATCTGTTCCTCACACAAAGCTAGGATATGGTTTCTGAAGAATATAGCACACCAGTCGTGGAGTTTTCTTTTATTTACTGTAGCTCTGCCTGCCATAATCACCGTGAACTATTGTTGTATGGAAAAATAATGTTTTCCATAAAGGCAGCATACTGCTTTGGAACAACACGAGGGTGAGTAAATAATCACAAACTTTCATTTTTGGGTGAACTATCCTATGTTTTTTGCTCTTAGCTTCTAATAATTCACCCTGAGTTGAAAATAATGAAACTCAAAAGAAGTAAAGTAGTTGGCTTTTTCTCATGTTTGTCAAATTCATCATTCAGAAGACGGGAGAGAAGCGGCTTCAAAGATGCATGGGATTGCGGTATAGTGTCATTATGGTGGGGAGGTGTCAGCTAGTATAGATGTCTTTAATGGACAGTGGCTAGGAGGCCTGTTTTCTGCTGTGAGTCAGCTCAGCTAGAGTTGAGGATGCACTGTTTGATGGGCTATAATCCTACACCCTGACTAAGTGACAAGATATATTATCCCAAGGCGAAATCTGGGCTGTTGGTGTGGAAAACACATTAGCCGTCAGCGAGACTGATGCACGGCAGCTCGTGTTATGTTTTTCTCGCTCAGCGACGCTACGCTAGCCCATTTTACAGCTCTGAAGAGAGGCAGAAGAGGAAGTGTTTTGCTCTGTGAAGGGAGGCAGAAAGATGAAGCTATTGGAAGAGATGAAAAAAGATCTCAGTCCATCTTAGAAGTGCTGCTAAAGACAGTGTAAAGGTTTATGATTGGTTTTCTCTTATACAGCTTGCACACAGAGAGAGTCACAGTAAATTTAAATTAAATGAAGGGAAACTGAAATCCTTAACCATGTCATTTTTTTCCCATTTTGTGAGGAACAAAATGACCAACTCTCTATTGCAGTTTGATCTGATTTAGTAATG